CAAATGTCCCCAAGGTGTCCCCAGGGTCCCCAAAGTGTCCTCAATGTCCCCAAGATGTCCCCAAGGTGTCCCCAATGTTCCCAATGTCCCCAAGGTATCCCCAATGTTCCCAATGTCCCCAAGGTCCCCCCAAGGTGTCCCCAATGTCCCCAAGGTGTCAATGTCCCCAAGGTGTCCCCAAAGTGTCCTCAATGTCCCCAAGATGTCCCCAAGGTGTCCCCAATGTTCCCAATGTCCCCAAGGTCCCCCCAAGGTGTCCCCAATGTCCCCAAGGTGTCAATGTCCCCAAGGTGTCCCCAAGGTGTCATCAATGTCTCCAAGGTGATCCCAGGGTGTCCCCAGTGTCCCCAAGGTCCTCAAAGTGTCCCCAATGTCCTCAAAGTGTCCCCAAGGTCCTCAAGGTGTCCCCAAGGTCCCCAAAGTGTCCCCAATGTCCCCAAGGTGTCAATGTCCCCAAGGTGTCCCCAAGGTGTCATCAATGTCCTCAAGATGTCCCCAAGGTCCTCAAAGTGTCCCCAATGTCCTCAAAGTGTCCCCAAGGTCCCCAAAGTCCCCCCATGGTGTCCCCAAGGTGTCCCCAAGGTCCTCAAGGTGTCCCCAAGATCCCCAAAGTGTCCCCAAAGTCCCCAAGGTGTCCCCAGTGCCCCCAAGGTCCTCAAGGTGTCCCCAAGGGCCTCAGGGTGTCCCCAAGGTCCTCAAGGTGTCCCCAAAGTGTCCCCAAAGTCCCCAAGGTGTCCCCAGTGCCCCCAAGGTCCTCAAGGTGTCTCCAAGGTCCTCAAGATGTCCCCAAGGTCCTCAAAGTGTCCCCAAGATCCCCAAAGTGTCTCCAATGTCCCCAAGGTTTCAATGTCCCCAAGGTGTCCCCAGGGTGTCCCCAAAGTGTCCCCAAGGTCCTCAAGGTGTCCCCAAAGTGTCCCCAAGGTGTCCCCAAGGTCCCCAATGTCCCCAAGGTGTCCCCAAGGTGTCCCCAGTGTCCCCAAGGTGTCCCCAAGATCCCCAAGGTCCTCAAAGCGTCCCCAATGTCCTCAAAGTGTCCCCAAGGTCCCCAAAGTGTCCCCAAGGTCCTCAANCTGTCTCGGATGACCTGGGGGAAGGGGCGCCCGTCGTCGGCTTTGACCCAACCCCACATCCCCCCCCTGCTTTGTGTCCCAATGTCCCCAAGGTGTCCCCAAGGTGTCCCCAAGATCTCCAAGGTCCTCAAAGCGTCCCCAATGTCCTCAAAGTGTCCCCAAGGTCCCCAATGTGTCAATGTCACCAAGGTGTCCCCAATGTCCCCAAGGTGTCCCCAAAGTGTCTCCAATGTCCTCAAGGTGTCCCCAAGGTCCTCAAGGTGTCTCCAATGTCCTCAAGATGTCCCCAATGTCCCCAAGGTGTCCCCAAGGTGTCCCCAGTGCCCCCAAGGTCCTCAAGGTGTCTCCAATGTCCTCAAGATGTCCCCAAGGTCCTCAAAGTGTCCCCAAGGTCCCCAATGCCTCCAAGGTGTCCCCAAGATCCCCAAGGTCTTCAAAGTGTCCCCAATGTCCTCAAAGTGTCATCAAGGTCCCCCCAAGGTCCCCAGGGTGTCCCCAAGGTCCTCAATGTCCCCAGGGTGTCCCCAAGGTGTCATCAATGTCCCCAAAGTGTCCCCAATGTGCCCAAGGTGTCAATGTCCCCAAGGTGTCCCCAAGGTGCCCCCAGGGTGTCCCCAAGGTGTCCCCAATGTCCCCAAGGTGTCCCCAAGGTCCCCAAGGTGTCCCCAATGTCCCCAAGGTGTCCCCAATGTCCCCAAGGTGTCCCCAAGGTCCCCAGGGTGTCCCCGGAGCCCACCTTGATGCCGACCAGCGCCCCCTTGTCTCGGATGACCTGTGGGAAGGGGCGCCCGTCGTCGGCTTTGACCCAACCCCACATCCCCCCCCTGCTTTGTGCCCCAATGTCCCCAAGGTGTCCCCAAGGTGTCCCCAATGTCCCCAGGGTGTCCCCAGAGCCCACCTTGATGCCGACCAGCGCCCCCTTGTCTCGGATGACCTGTGGGAAGGGGCGCCCGTCGTCGGCTTTCTGGTACATGGTCTCGTGGAAGAGGATGACGCCGCCGATGCACGGCTCCACGCGCTTGTCGGCCGTGAAGAGCAGCTGCCGGTACCAGCGCCGGTTCTCCTCCGTGTTCTCGGCCCCCACTGAGCTCAGACGCTTGGCAATGCTGCCTGCAGGGGGCACAGAAACCAGTATGGACCAGTATAGACCAGTATA